CATTTGAAAGCTCTTGTACATGTTGTATGTTTAGTCATTCCTTAATAGATCTTCTTTTAACAAATAAAACTGGTAATTCTTAATTGTCAAAATTTGTTTCTAATGATAATATCTATGTGGTTCTCCAGAAGGATGCTGAGAATACCATGGGTGAACATGTGAGCAACAACCAAGTTTCAGAGAAAATGGAAACAAAAAGGACATTTAAATTTAGAATCAGAGACAATTGAAATTTCTAGGGCATATAATGAGGAATGAGGGCTTGGAAAATTTGACACTTGCAGGACATGTTGAAGGCAAAAAGGCCAGAAGGGAGCAGCAAATAACCTACCTAAAGAGCTTGTGTAAATGGTTGGTAGAACAGGGATTAGGAGAGATGGCAAAAAGATAAAACTTACCAATAGCTACAAAGGACAGGAAGTTGTGAAGAGTCATGATCACCCACATCCTAAAGGAACACATCACATAGAAGATTTATTTGAATTGCTGTCATCTTGTTTTATCTATTATACGCTTTTTTTTTTTTTTTATTTTGCTTGAGAAAACCAGAGATTATAGCACTCAAAACATTGTACCTGTAACAACCAAGTTGAGAACACCAGTTTAAATTCATCAGTATATGATCATAAGTTGTCGCATCAGAAATTTAAACAAATCAATGTTAGGAAGACATCACTGAAAGATAATACTAGAAGATGCAGTGTTAATCATAAAAATAGATTTCTTGTAGTATGTTTTCTGTTTAGGATAGGAATCCAAACAAATTTTATGATTTATGCCTACTTTGTAATCTCCGCAAATTCTAAAATCACCATTAGGTTTTCTTAAAACCACAATAGGTAATGCCTATTTGCTGCCTCCAGGTTCTACATATTGAAGAATACCTTCTTCCACTATTTTTCACAGTTTATCAACTACCATTGGCTTTATATGAATGAGAATCCTATGGCTTTCAAAATACGATGGATTGATATTTCTTTTTAACTTAGGCCTCTCTTTATAGTTTTTTAATGTCCCAGTTTCGGGACTTTCCGTATTAATAGCCTTTAGTAAACGTGCTATTAATATTTATCAAATTAGTTCCTACTAAACTGTGACTTTTATACAGTCTACAACCATAATAGTGATGGTTTCAAATCTATTTTTTTTTCAAAAGTGCCTTGAAAGAACCCTAATGTTTTTATACATATTCCATCAAACTGTCTTAATCTTACTAAGCTTTTCTTTAATTTTGGTTTCAATAATTGTTTTCAAAAATTCTTCGGAATAAGTGTCACTTCAGTATCATCATGCATTTTTAAGTCTACACCATTTAATTTAATATTCATGAAAGTTTTCTTTTGTTTCTCCTTTCTATTGAAAAAATGTTTGATTTTTTACATCATTGTGTATTATTTTGACAATTTTTACATTGGTATCTCGTCATTTACATACAACTCAAAAGTGATTTTTCTTTTGGCACTCATTACATGTCTGTCTCCATGCTGGACATTTCTCTCTGTTTGATTCATGTTTATAGTTGTAATATCTGCATTTTATCATTGTTCTTTTTATCACACATGTCCATAAGCTCAGTTTGGTTTTCATTTGTATTAAATTTCTCAATTAACTCCTCTTGTTGCATGAAGTTGATACAATCTTCTAAAGTCATTTGGTTTGTCTGTAACCGCTCTAAAATTTTTACTCTATGAGAGGTGTTGTACAGTCCTTCTACCAATTGGAGTTGAATTAATTCTTCCTCTTTGCTTATTCCTTGTTGTCCTAGTGATGAAATTCACAATATCTGCTGGTATCTCTTAACCTTCTTAGATATTTCCTTATAGGCTCCCCAAATTTTTGTTTCAATGCTAAGAATTTGGTTTGTTCGGCTATGACCAATCTTTTCTTTGGTTGAATATTTCTCAATATTATTTCTTGACTTCCTTAAATATCAAGTTTTCAATTTCAGCCAGATAAGCCATTAACAAAATCTGCCTAATGACTTTGCATCCCACAGTAGCCAAAAATAAATCCATGATTTCTTTCTCTCCTCTAGGTGTTTGGTTATATCGTAACTTTATTCTGGCATATGCCTCAAAGCATTTTATCCAAATATTTGTTTTCAGGTTCTTCTGTGTTCACCAGATCTCTGTCAGGCGATGCCATTTTGCTATGAGGATCTAACTTAGAAGCCGTAGATGTTCCACGTACACTGACTTAAATTTGCCTGTGAACTATAGTTATAACTCTCTTTATGCTAATTTCCTATTAGCTAAACCAATCCCATTACAGAAACTTTATCAAATCTATTGCAAGTACTACATAGATAATGAGAAAATCTAACACTTAATGAATCTGGTAGTTGAACAATTTCGATTTCAGTTAAACTAGATGGAAAAAAAAAAAGGAAAACAAATTCCAGAAGCCTTTTCATCATATTGCAATCCTCTAAGAATGAAAAAATATCAATGCATCTGAACACTATCTAAGTGCAGGTAGTCCTAGAATTGTGAAAAACTGCATTTATCATTGGTGTGAGATGTCTGAGTATATGTGTATTAGGGATGTTCATAGGGAGTATATATGATAATGGATACATAGTTGCTTCACGTGAATACAGAGGATTCACAGCCTTATCTCGCTTTATTTTATACAAAAGTAACTGAATAAAGATGTCCTGTATATAAGTCTTGAGTCAGCTTTTATATTTGTCTGTTGGTCAGTAATTAAATTATAAAAGAGCATCAGTCACAGGGATCTCATTGAATAAATCTGCACTTTTTTAAAATTTATTAATTACTCACATATTTTAAAACGGTTTATTATGGGTTGTTTTAATGGTGTACAGAAATATTCCATAGAATTTAGTTATTAAATACAAGTTTATATTCATAATAAAAAATAAAGTATATACATTTACTATTTCTATAATACAATTCCTAAACTTATCTATTAGTAAAACAAAACAGGCTTTTACTTCATTGAATCGTTATGGAAGTCCACCAAAAAAAATTAAGAGTAAAAGTGGTCCTTGGGTAAAAAAAAGGTTGAGAACCACTGGCTTAAATTATTGAGTGTAAATGTGGGAACAAAGTTTGTGAAATGATTTTTTTTACCCTTAGAAAATAATTGTTTACAAATATTTATTGTTTTGATCTCTATTTGTAAAATTACAATAAGATATATTTGAAAAAAAAATGATAAAAATGAAAAAATTTTGCTTTAATTCATGTTGCTATTGTCCACTTGATAAGTTTACTTTTGTCTTAGATCCAGTCTCTGTTAAAATTTACTGATTTTTTTTTTCTGCATATTCATTCAATTATATCTAAAGCAGAAAAACTAATATTTTTAATTCTGTAAGAAGTATTTTCCTATCAGAATCAACATAATGAAATTTTGAGAAGTTAATTAAAATATTGAATTGATTTTAGTCAAGGGAAATGATGAGAGATTAAATTAAGGCATGCTTACCTTCCTTTTATTTTAATTATTCCAATGGCTTGTTCCAGGTTCTAAAGAGATATCTTTTCATGGTCATCACAAGAGAAAATAAACTAATTTCTCATTGGTTGTGATTTCTTTTGCACTCCTGAAACTGAATATAGTTAATCTTAAAATTCCAGCATGTCAAGATATTAGCTTCATTAAGAATAAAGAGACCTACTCTCGAAAATTTGGATTCAGTAGATAAAATACTGCTCTAGCATGCAGAAAGTTTTGGCTTCTTTTCCTCAGTGTCAAGTTGGCAAGGTTCACTGCTACAAACATATTTCAAAGAAGAAAACTTCATCGGTCTTATTCATCATACTTATTTCTTTTTTTTTTATTTATTTATTTTTTTTTACTTCTGTTGTCATATTTGGGTGGGAGCTGCCCAGTCTTCACTTTCCAGTTTCAACAGAAGAGCATCTCAGAGTCCTTGTAGGTGATAAATTATTTTCCATCCTCCAACCTCTCTCTCTCTCTCCCACAGGTGGGATGTGGCAAGCCTCTCACTGCTCTCTCACTACTTCCATGGAAAGTGCTTGGACAAATTACATTCCTTGGTTCTGCCAGTTAGAACTTTCACGGCCAGGATCTGTCCATGCCATCCATATTGTAGCAAACCATCCACATTCTCTCTGCATTCCATTTGCGATAAGTTCCACTAGAACAGTTTCTTCCCCTCAAACCACTGCTCTATGGAACTGATTCCCAATAGGATGTTTCCCCAATCACTTCAATCTTAACCTGTTCGAGTCTAAGATTAACCATTATCTTCTCTTATCAGCATAAAGTGTCACTCACTATATCCCCCTACCTCAAGTAGCCCCTGGGCCTTGTAAATTGTAAAGCTCACTGGAAAAAAAAAAAAGGAAATGTTCATAATTGCATTGTTATTGTTGTAATAGTTTGTTATAAATTGTTATTGAATTGAGGTGAGTACCATTGCATAATAAAAAAAATATAAGAGAAAAAAATTGGCAATTGCCCTGTCAAGAAATAGCCATATCTGAGGTCTGTATTAAAGTGTAGGGTAATCTCTGAAAACTGCCACTGATTGCAGCTATAATAGGGAAATAGCTGAGGCCTGCATTTTATTATCATAATCACCTATAAGAATTTGTTTTGCTTATAAATTTTCTTGTGTATGTTTTCTTATCTTTTGACAATATAATACTGTTTTGGCCCATGACTAATGACCTTACAACCCAAGCTCTATTTTTGTTCTGACTCATGTGAAAAGTCTAGCCATCTCTTATAAGCTTTTCTTAACAATTATAAAGTATGTCAATTGTTTCTCTCAGCATATTACCTCATCAGCTTCTTATCTACTACAGATGGACATAACTTCAACTGCTTTGCAGTGTAGAAATAAACAGTCGGGCAGTCTGTTGTTGGAAGAGACAAAAGAAAACCAGATTGAAGGTGCTTATTACCACAGTGCTTGATGTTTGTATTAATGGAACATAACTGTGATATTGACAGTGTTTTCCCTTTTTTATTCATAGTTTCATTGTGTTTTCTTCTCTTGACAGGTGAGGCAAAAAATTAACCAATCTTATGCTATGCTGCAGAAACATACCAAGAAATTACCTGATGCTCCGTACCTTGATGGTACACTTCCAGATATGGAGTCTGGTGAGTATAAACTCTTTTGTTTTTTGTATACCATTTTTTCCTCTTAAGTAGTGGTGTCCTACATTTTACTTAATTTTAGATACAAATAAGATACATATATTTTTTTATTACTATAAACATTATTTTTAGTGAGTAAATGTGAATTGCTATCCCTGCTTTTTTTGTTTTTTCTTAAACAGTGAAATTAATAATAACCAAATTAGGCCAAGAAGTCCTTATTATTTAGTAGAACTTCTCGGTCTAGGCCAGTTGTTATTAATTTCACTGTTTGAGTACCCACAAAAAATGTTAATAGTATAAGAAATAATGTTTGGTTAAAAAATTCATTGTTATGTGTGTGTGTGTATATATATATATATATATATATACACACTTATTCTTTGTGTCTACATATATAATATATTCACATTTTCAGTTGAATTTAACAAAACTTGTTTAAATGAGTTCTTGCTGCTTAAATACATTCACACATATAGTATCTGTGTAATTGAATGAAAAAAGGAAAAAAACTTAGTTTTATATATAAATGTGTATATATATATATATATATACACACACACACACAGTGCATTAACAATATTGAATGTAATGGGGTTGGTTAATTACATCTAAAATGATTGGTAGTTTGTGTTTGTATTATTTTAAATATTACTTATCAAGTATTTTTGTAATGTGCAACTAATATTTTCTTTAAGTTCCTTTAAGATCTACTTTCTTGATGTGCAGTGTTTTATTATAAGCAAGCAATATGTAACTTACTTTCTTTCAAAGGTTTTTCTCAAACTTTTTCAGTTTTATTTGCTATATGGCACCGATATTTTTTTCTCATTCTTTGATATTAAAGTAAACCATTTTATTTGTAAACTGGTGTAAATGAATGCGACTTCACGTGTGATGAATGAAATTAGACAACTTCCGAACAAAAATATCATATTACTAGTTTATTATAGAAATTTCAGATATGTTTTATTTGTGAATATTTCTGTCTTGAAAATGTATCAAATCTGAACGAACATGTTATATAATTGATGAATTGAATTAGTATAGTGGGTTTTATTAATCTTCTACTGTTGATATTTGAATCAAATAAATAACATCTACTCATTACATAATTATGTGCAAAAAGGCATAAAAAATATAAGCCACTGCTAATTAGTTATTTTTATACCTAAAGTTGGATCAATAAGTTCATAGTCTGATATGGTTATTTGCTGAATTTTGATCTGAAATTTTCATTGTATAATGTTCAATCTGTAATTAATGGAGAAGCTTTGTGTTCAGTGCATTGATGGAACAATATGGTGAAAAATATTTTTGTAAAATAAATGTTTTTTACATCATGAGGCTGCAGATCTATTGATGTACCTATGTATATCTGTTTAATGAGTAAAGTGCCATGATAAAAGGATTGTTTATTCATGCCATTTGACAGGATAATGATAAAAAAAATGACAATATTTTTTGATAAAATTAGAAATCCTGGGAAATGAATACTGGTGTATGGTCAACATATTTGAAAATATAATTCTGATGATTTGATGTATTTGATTTGAGGAACATAAAAAATGACACCATTAACCCTTGAATGGTAGGCATCATCAGTTGATATTTCATTGACAATCAGCAAGTATCATCAGTTGATGATTTAAACATTTTTTCACTGATACAGACATAATTCATTCATCATTCAAGTTGAAATGATTAATTGGCAAGTCTAGGATTACAACATTCCCTGGAATTTTTACCTGCAAATAAAGTTGGAAGAACAAACCAAAGACAGTGCTATGTTTGCATGCAGACTTCTAGAAGAGAAAAGTGGTGAAAAAATGGTGACAATTTGGTGCAATGAAGGTGCACCTCTATTTTGCATAGAATGCTTCAAGGAGTATCCTAGTTATTTACATCAGATGAGGACAATAATTGGAATGTAAATAGTCTAAATAATGATGACTGCTTATCTCAGAAATTTAGACAGAGTATCAGACCATTAACAAATATTCAAATTGGGAAACAAACAATTGTTTTATTTCCTGTTTTTTTGGGGTGGGTTGTCTAAAGGAATTAAAATATCATTTTTAAAGTTTTTGTGTATCATTAAAGTAAGAATAAAAAGAAAAACTATACATTAAAAAAATAATTTTTTTAATTTGTTTTAACCTCTATAGCATGTGCATTCATGCAACATTTTCCTACCATTTATAAAGTTAGTTTAAATAATTAATCTGTGGAAAATAAACAAAAATTGCTTGAAATTTTGAAAGAAACAAAAATCTGGAAACATTTATTTTTATTTTGATAAACCAAAAGTCTCAAAAGAAATCGTAACCTTTCTGCAAGAAAATCTTCTACCTAATTAATCATGAATCAAAAGAAATATTATTGCCTAAGCGTGTTGTCAGGTACAGCACTTAACTAACTTAAACCAAGGAAAATAAAGATTAAAAACAAAACACAAAAGACTTTTTTATTTTTTTTAATCAAATTAAAAAAAGATTATAACTTCAAGAAATATGCTTATTTTTAATATAACAAGCAATTTACGTACCCATTGAAATATTCTAAGTCATTATGAGTTCACTACTGGACAATGACTTTTCGTAAGTTCTGTGATGACCCTGCTGATTTTTGCCATGTTTTACTAGCAATTCCTGGCATTTCATCTGTTTATCTTCTGTCTGGTCTTTTACTATCCATTGGCTACCATTCAACCAGCCTTATGCTCCATCTTTTATCCTTCCTTGATATATGTTCCACCCACCATTTTTTATGCTTAATCACTTATTTTTATTTATATTATTTACAATCAGATTAATATCCTTATCTTTGTTGTCATTATTACAATATTTCAGTCTCGTACCCTCCTGCCTTCTTCAGGTATCTGTTGATCCAGGTAAAATTTATGGAATTTTTAAGATTACTTGGATTAAAACACTTGGAGAGTACAACAGTTAATGATAATAGCAACAAAGATGAGGACATTAGTCCCAATGAATATAAATAATGTTAATTCACATTATTTACACTTGGATGATTGTCTGCATTGTTGTTATCACGTTTTGGCTGTTGTGCTCTCTGACCATCATCAAGTGCTTGTCAATCAGGGTAATCTTCAGGTAATTTAAAACTGAACATTTTATTTAACAAAAAGTGATGATAACAACAAAGATCAGGATATTAGTCTGACTGTAATATAAATAATGATAGCGTTTCATCCCAGAAGTTCCAACAGAAATAAATCACTTCTATGTTATTGTCTATTTCAATCTCTGCTTGCATCCATGTTGACCTCCTTCTCCTCCTTTTAGCATTATTCCTATCATTCTTTGATAGAAAGTGGGTGGATAAATAAGTCAATAGCTTGAAACTTTTATTAACTAACACTTGATCTGAAATTTTCACTCTATAAGGTTTGATCTATGTAACTAATATTCATTGCAGAATTAAGTGCATTAACAAGGAAGATAATGTTTGAAACAATTTTTTTTTTTTTGCAACAGTAGGCAGTGGTCTTATTGAGGTGATGACTTGTTAGGATGTGTGGACAGTGTAAACACTTATTGGCAAATTGAGTTCAAGTCAATTGAATTGATCTAACAAGACAAGCTTGCTAACCATTACACCATGTTGAAGTGGATGGCCAGTGTGTGTACTGTTATATAAATCATAGACACTTGGCACATTTTCTATATCAGTATTGTTTGATAGTTTACAAATACTTTTAATTAAGTCCTGTGTTATAAGTCACAAATGAACCATAGATTATTAAACTTGTTTACCATTCTTTTATTACAGTCAGGTCATCTGCTGATAGGTCAGTATAAGGAGATGCAGAGCCTGCCTTTCCAAAAAACATTAGTGTGATGAAAACATCTTACTTTTATCAGGATTTGAACCCAGATGATTTTACATGCTCTTAGCACTTATGCTTCTCTTTCTATACACACACACACACAGTGATGTGCAAACACTGAATATGTGTGATTTTTTTTTTTTTTTTAAAGTAAAAGTAAATACTTAGGATAGGTTATTTATAAAGAGAACAAAAATGTTTTCCTACATATAAATTTATTGACAAATACAACAAAAGTATGGAAAGGTTTCAACATCAATAAACAGTGTTCAATAATTAATCATGTATCTATTATTTGATGTCAGATGTTTGGAATAAGTTGAAGTAATCTACTTGTAGAAATTAGCACTAATTCTATCACATTCTTGTTAACAAATTGCCTTAAGATTCAGTCAGTCAGTTATGTGCCATGTGTGATACACACTTAGGCAATCATATATCTTTCAATACATGACTGACAAGGCAGATTTTTTTCTGCATTAGGTTGCCATTTCTTTCTGTGGTATACCAGTTGCCATCCAAGGCTATAGAACCCGGTCTGTCCTGCTATTTACCCATAGCTGGGAGGAAAAGAGTATTCATATCTTTCTCAAGGGTATTAACACATAAGTGAATGTAATGGATTTGACTGGAATTTGAACTTGGCTCTCCGATTCCTCAATCCGAGTCGCTATCCACCATGCATCCCTTAAGATTACCAGACTCAAATCATTATGCTTCCAACATGTTTAACAGTTGGGATAGTATTTTGGGGATTTTAAAATGTATTTTTTATGCAGACATTGTTCCTGTTTTCATTAAAGAGTTCAATTATTTTTTCATTTTATTTTTTATTAGATGATAATTTTAGAATTTTAAAATAGACTCTAACATTTTGTCCCAGAATGAAGTATGTTTCTTGAGATGATGATAGGCAAACTGTAGATGAACATTCAGTTGCCTGCACTTCAACAGAGGTATTTTTCTAGGAGTTTGAGAATGCAGTCCTACTCAGTGGTGTGCCTAACTGTATTCTTATTCACTTCTTTGGCTGTAGATTCTTCTGAAATACTCCTCAGCTTTATGAATAACTTGTGCATTACCTTTTGACAAATGAACCTAGCTGCCTATTCACTTACTTTATGAGGATGTTCTTTTTGAGATAAATCAG